CTATTATATTTGTATTATTTTCCAATACCTTCAATAATGCTACCTTTTTGCAAAGTTGGAAAAACATTCTTTTAATCAAGATTTAGTGGAGTTTTTAGGCTATATTATTTTTTCATATAGCATCATTATGGATTCTTTCAAGATTTCTATCATTCTTAAGTGGTAATGCTCAACCTTTATTTATAATATTGTGAATTATCAGTGTTCATTTGGGGTTTTTCCAAAATCCCCCTTTTCATGACATGACTCACTATAAAAAATGCTTATTTTGTATAGCCTTTTGCTATATAAACTTCTTTTGCTCTCCTAAACTTTACATTCAATTCTATCTTAGTTCTTATCCATCTGTAAAGAATGACTCAATAGACAATAATAGAGTTCAATAGAGTTTTATATAAAAAGAAAAGGTTTATATATAAGAGTGCACCTTCTTTTTTACTCAAATAAGGGTTTTGGGATAACCAAAAAGAACAATTTGAGAAACAATCCATAAAGTTTAAATATAAAAAAGGCCCATGAATAAAAATGAATTTCAATCAATTAAAGGTTTTGGGATATTTAGGGTTAAATATTCATGGGCAAAAGTAGCAATGTGCTAAGTGACTTCTCAAGAAGTTTGAATCAAGTGTAAATTTTTATACCCAGCCTAATATAAACCCAAGAACTCTTAACTCCAAGTTCTAAACTCTTAGGTCTGACTCTTTGCAATTATAGCACATGTTAGGGTTAAACATCTTAACTAAATTCAACAACTTACACCATCCAAATAATATAAAGCCATTCTTGTTAAAGTAAATGCTTTAGATTTTGCTTTAAACACTATCTTGTCATAAAAAGGACTAAATAACAAGCTTCACCCAATTGCTCTCCACTCTCTCAAAAGTATAAATTTATAAAAAATTATTATGACAACTTCAATAAAGAGTTACTTTTGCCCGAAGGCTTCTTTCCATGTGATCTTTACATATAGTGATCACAAAACCTTCATTATTAGTCCTTGGTATCGGTATCAAGTTTGATAGTCATAGTCACTATCCTATTTTTAATTTATGATTGCACATTAGTTAGGAAAAGTTAATGGGATCTTAGTCTCACTTCCAAATTAATTCTCTTGTATAATTATCTGCTCCTCTTTATTACTGCATCAAGTAACAGATTGAAGTAACTCAAGCCATTGATCCATCTATTCAGAAATCTTAACAATCAATTTATTTTAATACTTCTCTAGCTCATTATGATGATTATTAATTTTTTCATTTCTAAAACAAACTTCTTCATTGATAGACTAAACTATATATCTAATGGTGAGATAAAGTTGGGTATTGTCTAAGTGTGCTAAAACAACCTAGCAATAGGGCACATTAGTTTAATAGTAGTTTTGGTGGCTTTATGTGGATAAGTATGTATAAATTTTTTAATTTGAACTTCCCAAGAGGTCACTTAACTTAGTAATACTCAAACTTAAGGACACTTAACCCTATCTTAAAAACCTTAATCAATTGAAAAATAAAGTGCATTATTATTCTTTTCCCTTTGACAGAAATGATTTAAGAGATGATTGGGGTTCAAATATATTTTTTACTCTTCAAAGTCAGAGTGACTTTGACCTTTGACTTACTGTAAACTTTTTAAGACCTCACTCAGCATAGGTACTCAAAACCCAAGGATAATTAACCCTAAATATCTAAGACCCTTAACTAATTGAAAAAGAAGTGCATTCTTATTTATGGGCATTTTTCCTTTTATATTTAAACCTTTATAGATAAATTTTCAAGTTTATTTATAGTATATTAAAATCTTTATCCATCATGCAAACAGACCAAGATACATAAATATCCTTCATCTAGTTTTCACTAGCCCATTCCTCTTGCTGCAAGAGCTTGGCAATTTAAATATATAGTTTTCTTCATTAATGTTCCACTTTCTTGAGGATTTCATAGTAAGTCAACAAGTTTTCCAAAATAATTTTTTTTTCTATGTCAAAAAATGATTTTTACTTATAAGGTTTAATATCATCATAGATTGTTAGATGATAATATTATTAGTGATTGAGGGTTTCAATTTATTTTTATCTTTGTATGCTTAGTTTCTTTCTTTTTTCTATGTCAAAAGTCAGTTATGAACTTCTCACCTGATAAGTAATCGAAGTATACTATTCATAATCTTGAATAGTATGTTCAATATCTACACTATTGAACATAGTGTAAATATTGGTTCAGTATCACCTTTCTCATGCTCAAGTTGTTTATTATCATTCTAGTAATTATTTTCACCAATTTAACTTTAGTTTTTAGTTGGATTAAAGATTTAACTTCTTTGTTATCATTGAAAGGCCACACACCTTTTCAATAAATTGGATTATCAATTATAAGCAATAAAAAACAATTTAAGAGATGATCTGTTAGAATTTCAATATAAAGAGAAGGGTCTATGAATAAAGTGTAATTTTATTTTCTAATCAGTTAAATATTTTGAGATATTTGGTGTTAAAGTGTTTTTAGTTTGAGTAGTATTGGGTTGGATGACATTTTAAGAAGTTTAAATTTATGAGCTTACATCAATATTTTGGTCCTTTCTTTATGCTTTGTTATACCTTTGAGCTCATTTATTAGTTTAATCTCCCTCCATTTATAAATTTATATCTCCATATATTTTTATTGAAACTTTATTATGCCCATTTTGATCCACTATCACCTCCTTCAGAGGTTATTGCTAATGAGTAGGATTTTGAGGTTGTTATCATCCTTGACTCAAAGTACCAATATTGCAAACTTTATTATTTAATTAACTAGCTTGGGCATTTTCTTAGTGATTGTACTTGAGAGTAAATATTATTGGGTAATTAATTGTTAGTGAGGTAATACTCAACATCTAAATTGATTAAAAACTTCATCAATAAGATAAAAGTAAAATTCTCACTCTCAACATCCAAATCAATTTGAGGAGGAGAAAGAACACTTAACTCAAAACTAAATTAAGAATGAGAATCACAATAGTCAAAAGTAATTAATATACTAAGAGAAAAAAATACTACAGATGAAGAAGAAAAACTAAAAATATGAAATACTACAGATGAAGAAGGTAGTTTAAGCTGAAAAATAAGAAATAACTAAAAATGAATAAAGGTAAAGAGAACAAAAGATTGAAGAATTGACACTTACACAATAAAATCTTCAATTTATCTCCAAAATTATCCTCGAACTCTTTATCACAATTAGGAATCCATTCGAAGTTATAAACATTATTTTCTCATAAATTCAATCTTTGAATATATCAGATGTTAATTTAACTTTTGGTGTTGTGAAGCATGATTATGCTAATGTTGCTCCAATCAATGTATTACTTCAGCTTCCATGGGATGTGATTATATAACTTCTTCTGTTTTCAATGTTTTACCATCTCTTGCTAATATAGAGTTTAATCATGATATTAATTGGAGAGCTAGTCTGGTTGTTGGAAGATACAGTAGGAACAACATTGCCTAATGAGAACAATAGAGTAGCATTTGCAATCTTGATCAAATTACTCTTTGATTGACAATAATATGCTATTGTGAAAGAATGAAATATAATGAAGATCAAACAAAAGAGATCTACACAAAAAATTCTAAATCTATTGAGAAACAAATAAAACCATGATCTTGAACACTAGAGCAAAGTACTAGTAACAAATTTTTACCTTTTGAAAACAATTTAATGCTTCTTACCTCCACCAATATAGTATATTAATTAGGGTTTAACCTCCTACTTAGATTCAATCCCAAATCTATATGCTATACTATTATAACTAGTATAGCTGTATATATAATATGATCAATATAAAAGGGTTTAACCTTATAAATTATAAAAAGTTATTAGGGTTTTATAGCAATAGCTGGGTTTGAAAGAAAGATTGAGATTTTTTAGCATTGTGATTGTGGTTGTAATGCAAAAACTAATGGAAAAGCTCAATATTAAACTTAATGAAAATAAGCACATTGGTAGTAAGAGTAAAATAATCTTTGGGATAGACCAATCTCGCTCAAGAAAATTAAAAAGGATAAAATAACATATATGTAATACCTTTTACATTACCTTTGAAGAATCAATGCTACAAAATCAAGGTTTGAACAGATAACAATTGTCAAACATCAAACATATCAGAGGAAAATGTTCAGTGTAATGAAAGGCTCGATTGGGAAAGGTTGGCTTCACAAACACCTAACAATTACTGACTTCCGAAATCATTTGTTACTTTCAGATGCAGTGAATTAAGTTGATGGCATAGATTTCCATATCAACATAATATATACTAAGTGAGTAAAGATAAATTCAAGGAAGAGATGAATAGCTTGTGCTCTATTCTTAAGGAAATATTATAGGAAAACCTTTGTGAACTTTCCAAATTTATAGGGTGAAAATTTCATTAAATCCTAATAAATAATGAAAATAGTGATAAAAGAACATTAACTAGCAGCACCAAACACTCCTCTCACTCCAGCTGCGTGGATCTTACATGCACTCAAGAAGCATCCCCAATTAGAAACATCTGGAAGAAGGCTCCACAACACTGATCAAATACTATGCTACAGCATCTAAACAATGCTGCCAAGTGTCCATTTTGCCCAACTCTCTGATTTCACATAATAACTTTGGAACTTCTACAGTGTCAAACAAGCACTTTGCTTCGTATACATGCCCTAGTTCGGCATATGCGGTGATCATAATATTCCACGGAACACTGTCTCTCTGGGCTATCAGATCAAACACTCTTTTAGTTTTTGCAAGATCATCTTGATTGCAAAGTCTTGCTAGAAAACTGTCCACGAGACAAGGTTTCTTTGAGGCATTGAATCAAGAGATTGTGTAACTGGTCGACTTCACTGCACAGGGCGTTTGCTACGTCGTGCTGTGGCATTCTTTCATATGTGTCTCTTGCTAGATTAGTGCAGCCATGTTGCACAAAAGAGTTGATAGGTGTTGCCCATGACACTGAATCTCTCCGCGCCATCCTCTCAAAGAACTTTCGAGCTCCATCAAGATCCCAGCACTGGGCATGCAACGATCATAGACTGGATTGCTTGAACCATGATCTCTTTCCATCCTATCAAACAGTAAATCATCCGGCAAAGTTGTAAAGCTTCCGAGGGTTTGGGGTTTAGGGTTTTTAGATTATGTCTCGCATTCTCCGGGGATCTCTCAGGGCGAGCAGGATCCAGCGGCGATCGTGGAGCGCGTCCGTCGCGCCGGCGCCGGCGGAGGATGATCCCAGGAGCTTGTATGGCAGTGGATGGGATGCGGGGCCGCGAGCGGTGAGAGTGGCGGTGTGGTGGGATTTCGAGGACTGCGACATCCCAGCTGGGATTCCTGCGACGAATGTGAGCAATAATATCATCTCTGGGCTGCGAACCAGGGGATTCAAGGGTCCAGTGTCGATCGACGCGTATGGTGATACATGGCAGCTCTCGCGGAGCACACAGGAGGCGTTGGCTTCCACTGGGATTTCTCTCCACCATTTGCCATCGTGTAAGTTCTCGATCTTTTCTCTTTGCTGGATTTTCGTGGATCCATCGTTGTGATTCCTGTTTTTTCTATCCAGCTCGCAAGAATTTGGCCTCAGATCGAACTCTCATGCTGGATTTGGTGCTGTGGACTGTCGATCATCCGCCACCAGCGCATCTCTTCGTCATCTCCACGGACAGTGATCTCTCCAGTGCATTACACTCCCTCCGGATGAAGAACTACAACGTTCTTCTGGCATGCAACTCTCACTCGGCCTCCCCGGCTCTCCTTGCCGCAGCTTCGGTAGTATGGCAGTGGGGTAAGCTCGCTAGAGGAGAAGGCCTAGTAGCACAGACAATCGTGAGCAGCGTCCATCGCTCCTCGCAGGAGTTTCTACAGGAAATAAGTTCGCCGCCGCCACCGCCACCATCGTCTCCTCCACCATCATTTACGCCGCCAACGCCAACGCCAACGCCAACGCCTCCACCATCATTTACGCCGCCAACACCACCGCCACCTTTGTCTCCATCGCTGCCAAGTTCGCCATCTTCATACACTCCATCTCCGCCACCACCTATTCCAGCATCACCACGTCCAGCTCAAGATTCTCTGCCAGGGAGACTAGAGAAACAGGATTCTTTACAGGACTTCCACAAGGATATTTGCGCACTGCTCCAGCAAGCGGCCTCGACGCTCAGCCAAAAGCCTCCGGAATCGATGCTTTTGAGTGTGACCAAGGCAGGTAGGAAGGATGAGCGCTCCACAGCAACAGAGAACAGGAGTGGTTCGAAGGAAAAAGCCCTGGCGAATACTGAAAACGACTCCGGCACCAACCAGCCCGAGTCTATAAAGCAGTCGTCCTGTGAGGCACCGTCCGGGGGCTCCACGCATGATGCTCGGCAAAGCGATAGCAAAGTCGTTGTCCAAGTCGCAAAGCAAGTAGCAGCCACCACCGAGAGCTCGACGTCTCAGTGTCAGCGGCAGATAAATGCGGTGACTGTGAAGGATGGAAACGCAGTGAGCACATCTCAAAGTCGCTCGCCAGGTGCTGTCACCAGCGCCCACGAAGGAAAGTGGACGTGGAGAAGGTTTCTGTTCGGATCCAAGGCTGCGAGTCGAGCAAAAGTCGATGGTGGACAGGAGGAGATTAAGGAAAGCTTTCCCAGCCATTCTATTTCTCCGCCAGACGATGAGGCATCAAATCAATCATTTCCAAGGCGCTCCTGGAGTCACTTCTGGAGGCGTACAACGGCAGCAAAAGAGGACAAGGGAGACAACGCATGGGATATTGTGAAACAGTTTTCTAAGACTGAGGAAGGTGCCTTTCTTTTATCCAAATCGCAAAGCCAGTAAGTTTCGTTTTGATCTTTTGACAGCTTGAAAGACTTTTGACACTTGCTTTCACACCGCAGGAAGGAATTCACAAGCTTGCTTTGCGAGTCCGGACCGCCATGCATTCGAAACTGGGAAGAGGACAGGGTATCAGAGGTCGTCAGCCGTCTCGTAGCCGAAAAGGAGATTGATGCCTCGGCATGGGAGCTTGAAAAGGATCCTTCCTCGCAGCTTAAAACGGAAGAAGATGACATCCAAAACTCGGACGACACTGCTCCCGCATTAAGTGATCAACCGTGTCCTTGGGAAACGATAAAGGGACACTACCCCAGCCTCGAGGAGCTGAGGATTTGGATGGTCTACTTTTTAAATGTGGAACAGGAGCGGAGAAGCTTCGACGTCTCTCATCTCAAGGCAGAGTTTAAGAAGCAGTTTGGCCTCTCTCTCAACCTCAACATATTCGGCTGTGTGAGGATCAAGGACCTCTTGGGCGTCATGCAAGACATCGTTCACGTATATTATCCGAAGTCTACAGTGTGCATGATAAGAACCAGGACGTTTCCCAGGATGGCTAAGGTGAATCCACGCGCGTTGAGAGATTACGCACCGCTTCTCGAGGAGTTGCTACTGGAACACCCGGATGGAATTCCCATTAGTATGATCAAGGCCAGGTTCTACAGCAAGTTTAGCTGCGACATCGATCATCGAAAGCTTGGCTACTCGAGACTGGACATGTTTTTGAGAGCTGCACGGAGTGACATTTATGCCAGACTGGACAGTGTGGAGCATTCTGTCTATGTCTTTATTCGAAGACAAGAGGAAGAGAGTACTGGCGAGGAGGAGCAAGAGGAAGAAGAAGAACAAGGAAACGAAGGACGGCCAGCGAAATTTATCGTGGACAAGGAGATCAGCCTATGACACAGGACAGGACTAAAGCGTAAAAAATGTGTTCCTTTCGTTTTATTCTAGTTTTTGTTTTGGTAGCTAACATAGAGCTGTGTTTTCTCTCAGGAAAACTGACACAATGGAATCACGCTTGAACTGGAAAGCTGAGATGCTACATGTGCTTTGCTAGTTGGCAACGAGAATTTTTGTTCGACGCAGGCTCTCCCATCCACTCCGTCCTGGAAAATCTTATCTTTCGCTCTAAACTTGGAGCCAGATACGTACCGAGAATCGCTCCACAGCGCTTCTCTCGAGGGAGATCAAAGATGCTGCGCCAAGTTTCCAGTTTTCACCGTGGTCCAAGCACCCTGCGGATTAAAATCTCGTCGCCAAAGGCTGTCCAGCAGCTGGATGCCTCTTCCAAGTAAGCAAAGCTGTTGTTTTCTTCCTTTTCTGCATGGGATTCGCTCGCTCACGCTATAGTAGCCAGGATTGCGACGTCTGGATTACTCTAAGATGATTGAGAGGCGACCGACACAAATCTCCTGTGGAAGCTGCATTGGCTGTTAGAAAGCGTCAACAACCGTGAAATATACAATGGCTGCGAGCGCGCGCGAGAACAAAGAAAAGGCGAGAAAAATGGCAACGTGACTCCAGGCAAGATAGCAATTTTTCACCCGCTGCTTTGGTTTTTCCTGATTGACGCCAATCTTTTGTGTTGTTGCAGCTTACACATCGAAGCCAGCGGCCGACTGACACACTTGAACCGCGGCGCTCTGCCGTACGGCTTCCTCCGCCGTTGGATCCGTGGGCTTATCGGACGGCCCCAGGCGGGTAGCCGGATGTGGGGAAATACTCTGGTGCTCTTGCGAGCACAAAAGGCCAACTTTTCCAATGTGGGTAATCTCAGGGATCTTGTCCTAGTCTTCTCTTCTTCCAATCTCTTCTTTCTTTCTATCATTGCTTCCTTCTATTTCTTCTTCCGTCAGCATCGATTCCTTCTCGCGGGTAGAGTCGTTTTTATCACTGATTGGTCGATTTCTTCTCCAATCTTTACGAATTGGCTCTATCTCTTCCATTCATGAGCGATTGTTCTCTTGCTCTTGTCAATTCATTCTTGTTTCTACCAATCAATCGATCGCTGAATTGATTCGAGCCTCGCGCCTCGCTTGCGATGAAGCCTTCCAAATCCAGCACCAGGCCCGCGATCAAAGTGATCTCCGACAACATCCCCATGACAATCGGCGCCATTCTCACAGGATTCCTCATCTGGAGCTTCGTGCTGGCGCCATACGCGTCCAATTCCCCGGTGGAATCCGAGGAGGAAGAAGCCCACCACCAATTCGCTGCTGCCGCTAGTGGCGACGCATCCAGGCACCCACTCTCCTTTAAATCTCCCTCTTCCTCCAAAAGCTCCAAGAGCTCTTCTTCTTCTTCTTCTTACTCGCACGCCACGCAGTACATGCCCGAGCGCACAGACCTCGAATTCCTCCTCAACAAGTCCCTCGCGATCGATCCCCTGCTCAACACGTCCTTCGCATTGGGACCTCGAATCACCGACTGGGACGAGCAGCGATCGCGCTGGTTTGCCGACCACAACCAAGATCGCGATCCCTCCAAGCTCTTGCTCGTCACTGGCTCCCAGCCCCATCCATGCCTCAACACTCTGGGCGATTACATGCTCCTGCGATCCACCAAGAACAAGATCGACTACTGCCGCCTCCACGGCATCGAGTTGTTCTACAACGCCGCCACTTTCTCGTCCGATCTCCCCAGCTGGTGGGTCAAGCTCCCGCTGCTGCGATCCTGGATGATCGCGCGCCCGGACGTGGAGTGGTTCTGGTGGATGGACAGCGACGCCGTTTTCACCGACATGGCCTTCTCCATCCCTCTGGATCGCTACAAGGATCACAACTTCGTGCTCCATGGCTGGGATCATCTCATCTACGGCGAGAGGAAGTGGACGGGGCTCAACATGGGAATCTTCCTCGTGAGGAACTGCCAGTGGACGATGGATCTGCTGGACACGTGGGCGCCCATGGGATTCCGGGGGATCGTGGCCGATAGAATCGGCAAGGTCCTCACGCTGGCTCTTTCCGGCCGCCCGGAAGATTTCGAATCGGACGACCAAGGCGCGTTTATTTACTTGCTCAATGCCGATCGTGCGGCGTGGGGCTCGCGCGTCTACCTCGAGAACGCTTACTACTTGAATGGCTACTGGAAGGATCTAGTGGAGAGATACGAGGAGTTTGCGAAGAACAGCCACCCGGGATTTGGGGACGATCGCTGGCCCTTTGTCACGCACTTCACGGGATGCCAGATTTGCAGCGGCAAGATCAACAATGTCTACACTCCGGAAGAGTGTAGGAGGCAAATGGATCGCGCGCTGTTCTTCGCGGATAACCAGATCTTGCAGGGGATTGGATATGTCCATCCCAGCCTCGCGACGCACGAGATCGTGGCTGCTGCCAAGAGCAGCGACGAGCAAACTTGATGGATTCGCTCACCGGTGAGTGAATCCAATGGATCAATTATACAAGAAGCAATGGATTGTGACAAGCTCGATCGAGTCGATGAGATATATTGGATCAATCGATTGGTTGCTCATAGGATTCGTATGTGATGAGAGGTTTTACGTTGACATCAATCGATATCATGGCTTGTAGCCATTGTCGCGGTACTTCATTTAGATCGATCAAAGTTCTTTCTTTCACATTATAATATTTTATGCTTATTAACACGTTAAACACCGGTTAGCAAGAATTATAACAATACCCTCTATTCACACTTCGAGTTCTTGTGGAGGAACCTCACAACGACGCAAGTTATGTTGTCAGCGCTTCCTTTGCCATACGCCTCGCTCGTTAATCTCTTGGCTGCTTCCTCCGGATCCAGTATGGATTGGACCATCGACACAGCGTCCTGCCAAGAACAAGTGAATTCACTGCCTTTGAGATCAAATCACGAAGCTTACCTGGTTTGTCAAAACATCCCACAAACCATCGCTCGCGAGGAGTAAAAACTCGACGTCTTCCGTTATCCTCTCTTCCTGTCAGTGTCCCGTGGTGAGCTACGAAAGACCGTCGCAAAAAACTAGCAGCAAACCTGGATCTCTGGATCCGCGAGGACGAATTTCTTCAACGAGCTGTCTCCAAAGGCTCTAGACACGGCCAGCACGCCTCCAACTCTCCAGGTTCCTAGACAAACGCACAAGACATCGTCAATCCGAGCCAAAGAGTACGTTTGCGTGCATACCCAAATACAAGACATATCCTCCAGCGTTTTCTATTCTTTGGCGCTCGTCCGATCGATCCGGCTTGTGATCGTTGGATAAGGGAACGGCTGGAAAGAGTAGCACACGTGAAAACCATCACACCAAATAATAAAAACCATAAAACGTACCTTCACCAGCCTTGCACAGCACCGCTCGTGAATCGCCCAGGTTGGCCACAAGCAAGCGATCTCCAACCAAGATCGCTGTGGAAGCCGTGGAGCCACACTGATCGGGGCCATTGTGCAAGTAGTCCGCATCGGTTTTTCTATAGGCCTCCTCTGGAAAGAAGGAAAAAAACAAAGAAGAAGACTGTTCAATCAACCAATCAAGCGTTTGCACGAAGATCCACTGACCAATAGCAAGCTTCGTGTTGCTCACAAAGTGAGGATGTCTTGTGAGGTTGTCAAAGAGGTTTTTCTTCACATACTCGGCAGCCTCAGAACCACCGTGTCCTGCAAGAACCAAGGCAATTCTCGATGAATCCTGGTAGAAGAGAAACTAGGAAAGCCTCACCGTCGAAAACTCCAAACAAACCCACCACAGTATCATCTATCTTGGAAATTCTAGCATCGTAGAAATCTTCCATGGACATCCTCTTCCCGCAAAGGCTCGAGTAGCCATAGCTGAATCGCTCATCTTCGCTGCCAAAGAGCAAACAAACACCTCTTAGCCCCAAATTCACCGACACAAACTCCAACCTTAGCCCGCTGCCACTGACCGGCGGCCGAGAATCGCTAGATAGAAACGCTTCCGTCAAGCAACGCATGATTTCCTCCCCACAGCTGATCCAAAACCTACATACCGCGGCGCACAGCCTCCTCGCGCTCCCAGGTACGAGACCTAAACTCGCATTCGCAATCTCCACCTCCCGCGACACGATCGATCGATCGATCTCGTCCCCAGCACCACAAACACTATCCCCGCGTTCGAGAAAGACCTAGCCAACCCTGGCCGTCGGATCCTCAAGAACAACGCGGTTCAAACAATCCAACGGTCGGGGCCCTGTAACTTAGTCGCCTAAAGCGGGAATATTATTTCTTTTGGCAAGAGCTAAAGCCCTAGGGCAGATTTCTAGGGTTTCTTGCTTCTTTGGGCGCCATGAGCAAGAGCTTGGGGATTCCAGTGAAGCTCCTCCACGAGGCGGAAGGTCACGTCGTCACGGTGGAGCTCAAGAGCGGCGAGCTCTACAGGGGTACGCTGATCGAGTGCGAGGATAACTGGAACTGCCAGCTCGAGAATATCACTTACACTGCCAAGGTTTGCCCCAATTCCTAGTTTCTCTCTCGGTTTCTCGTGCTTACTTTGGTTTCTCGTGTTTTCCTCGTTCTCTAGGATGGGAAGGTTTCGCAGCTCGAGCATGTCTTCGTTCGCGGCAGCAAAGTCAGGTATTGCGAAAGTAAAATGTTTAGAGATTGGAACAAAGTTGTGATTTTTTCTTTCTTTTCTTTCAGGTTCATGATCATTCCTGACATGTTGAAAAACGCTCCGATGTTCAAACGATTGGAAGCTAAGATCAAGGTACGATGATCCTCTCTTCTTCTTTTTTCTTTCCAGGTGCTAGATTAATTTTCTTTCTTTAACATTCCTTTCTGTAGGGGAAGGGCTCTGCTGGAATTGGAGTTGGAAGAGGACGAGCGGTATCCATGCGGGCAAAGGTAATGTTTTTCGACTTCTCTCTTTTGTTTTCCTTCTTGTTCTCTCTTTTGTTCTATCGTTTAGTTTCTAACGAAGTGTGTTTTAGCAGGCAAGAGCTGCTGGTCGAGGCGTGCCGCAGCCAGTCCCTGGTGGCCGAGCCATGCCCGTGAGGAGATAGAAAGCCTTCCCTTTGTGTTTAAGTTCTCCACCTTGCTGCCAAACTCCCAACGCTTGTAGCTGGACGCACCTTGTGAGAATTTTTGGTATGCTATTAGATCCTTAATGGTTTTAGTTTCTATGTATGGAGCAGGATCCAATATTTGTACGCAATCCGCCCTTGGTGGTTTTTTGTTTTCCAGAAACCATAGATACTTCACATAGGTGATACGCTCTTCTCTTTCGATTTTTCTCCTAGGCCAGTTTAATCGCTGTAAGAAGATCTGGAGCAGGACAAATTGTCCATCACCATTTTAATTCTTCTGGCCAGCGCGTTTTCAGCTGAAGCGATATAACCAGCGCTCCACCCGTTTAAAAGAGTTATTCGAGCACGCACAGTAAGAGGAAGAAAAACAATGTCGTGGACGATGACAAGCTCTCTAGCAGCGATCACAAGTAAGCGTGCTCTTGATGGTCATGTTTCTTGGATAACCGGGATCTCAAGTTCATCCTTGGGACGATCCGAGCGCTGTATAGCAGCAGTCCGGTAGTAGTTGGAGGCCTCTCTCCGCCGACCAGAGATCTTTAACTTCGAGCCAGGCTCGCTGGATCCAATCGAGCAGTCAGGAGTCAGGGTCCGAAGATGGAGGAAGATCAAGCAGGTGGAATCCGACAACCAGGGCTCGCTGCTGACAGGGAGAGATGAGGCGGGAAGATCTTCTCTTCTGCTTTGTCAGCTATAGATTTTAATGTTATGCTAAAACATATTTATGATAAAGTTTATTAATTTTACCATTGTTGATGCTTTGCTAGTGTATAAATCACAAAAACATGCGATCCCATCCAAGAGAAAATGGCCGGATCCTCATTGCGTCTAAATGATCCAAGTGCCAGCTCTAAATATAAACCAGAAAGAAATAGTTTACTCGCAATGGCCAAACACATCGTTGCGCTCGAAGGCCATGTCTCTCCCATGATGCATCTCTCCATCTTTCTCGCCCAGCAAGGCTTCTCGATCACCTTGGCAGCCATGACAATCGGCCCATTCGATTGTTACAGCTTCATCAAGAACAAAGGAACTTGGCCGCCTCCAGGCACCACGAACATCAGCGTCAAGGAGCTCACCTCCACAGACCCATTCCCTGCCGAGGCAACATCAGAGAACCGAGCGGACATGACGCAAAGCTTGCGGTACGCTCAAACTTACCTGGCCTTGATGGAGGAGCTCGTCCGAGCCATCCCGGACGAGGTGTGCTGCATCATCTCGGACTATCTCTTCGACTGGTGTCCAAAGCTGGCTGCGAAGCTGGGAGTTCTCGGGGTAACTCATTCCAGCATCCGCCACTGTCACTTGGTGTGAGCTTAGTATCGCTCGCCTTGCTGCTGCTGGAATGGTGCCATCGCAACCAGGTAAGCTCCAAGAGAACGAGCTAGCCTTTCTTTTCTTGCCTGTTCTTTGCTTATGGGCGAGCTAGCTGACGATGTGATCCTCTCAGATCCTGAAGTGCAAAGGTCGGAGATACCCTGGCGCAACGACAAAGCTTACCAGGATCAACAGCCAAGCTCTCATGGCTGCCGATCTCGCCATCGTGAACACCTACCAGTCGGTCCTCTCAACGACGAGCCACACACTGTCAGATTTGGCGTATGCGATACCGATTGTCTCAAATGGCTCGACGAGCTCGACATCTCTTTCGGGAGCTTTGCGGCCATGACTGGCGACCAGATGGAAGAAATCGTGCGAGGACTGGAAGCCAGCAGCAAGAAATTCCTGTGGGTGATCCGACTCGAGCAGCCAGAGATCTCCAAGGTCCGATTCCCAAGCACGGATCAAGGAATGGTCGTCCCGTGGTCGCCTCAGAGGAAAGTAGCGGTTGGAGCTTTTCTTTCTCACTGCGGCTGGAATTCTACCGTGGAGGCCGTCGCCCGTCCTCTGTTGGCCACTGCTGTTCGAGCAGATAAAAAATCTATAATGCATAAAATTAATAAAGAAAACACCATATAAAAGAAATAACCTTTTGAAATCAAACTTTTCATCAGCCTTTATCTAGATTAATTGAACCAAGCAAATTTCCATACACAAGTAACTTCACATAAGTTACATCATAATTTTTATAAATTTCCATTGTAGCATTTCCTCATTTCCTCTTCAAATTTTGTAATAGGATATAAAAACAGGATGCTTATAATGCATTTCAGCTATCATGTATATTTTGTTCATCGCTCACTTGTTCTTTAAATCACTTGTTCTTTAAAATAATTGTCCAATTCATCAATACTTTGTTATTTCCTAAATGTTTTGTCCTACCACATAAATACTCATTCATAAATATCTTGATTGAGCAAGATAAGTCATTATCAATAAGAGAAGCATAGAATTTCTATGAACAACCTTCTCTTTACATCAAAATGTGTATCATTTCCTCTCTAAATGGATCAAAATCAATTTAAAATTTTCACTATTATCCTTAAATTGTTGATTGAATCATATCTAGCTCATAAATTAACTCTTTCTAGCCATGATTAAATCAGATTGATATATATACATATATGTATATATATATATATGTATGTATGTATGTATATATATATCTATGTATGTATATCTATGTATGTATTTATTTCACTAGTTTTGATAATAATGGTATTGATAATTTAGTCATACCTTTGTGTTATTAACATTCATTCATTTAGTTAGTTAGCAACTATGTTAGTGCTCAAACAAACTAAGTGATAAGTTAGGTTAGCTATATTCTAGACGAGATTGAGCCAATTCATACATGCTCTTTATCCTGGACTTTTTTTACTTTGTACTTAGTCCTAAAGTTAGGACAAATGTCTTAACTTAAATTTAAGTTATTTTCACTAGAATAATGCTGATTCACACTTAGTACTATTTTGAGGTAATACTTAACTGAAATTTAGGATATCAAATTCAAAAGCTAAAGGTGCCCCTTCCCATCTTTAACTTTTAAAACATTGTCATAGCTAAAATTCTATTGGCATATTCTTTAGGGCAGTATGGCAGGACATATGAGATTTGATAGTAGTATAAGATTGACCAATGAAGCTTATGGGAATTGCATAACATCCTCTCAAGCCAATGGCATGAGATCTGGTAGTAGTATAGGATTGACCAATGAAGCTTATGGGAGTTGTATAGCATCCTCTCAAGCCAATGTCATGGTGCTTATAGCATCAATGTCTACAATAGTGGAGCCTAAGACCTTAATAAGCTTTCTTCAATCTTTTTCTCTAGATTTGCATTCTAATTAATTTACAAAACAATCAAGAGGATGACTTGATCTAGATAAACAAGGAAAATGAGTAAAGACAAGTTAAATTCAGCTAGGGAAAGAACTAGTTACAAAAGAAGACTATGCTCCTTATGGAACTCAATGGCTAAGTTTCCATGGAGCAACTAGAGTTGATAGGCCATAACAAAGAGGTTATGGTTGCAGAGTGGTGGAACATAAATGGGGGTAAGGTGGTAGATCATGGTTTCAAGGATTGAGATGGAAATTGGCAGCATTGGCTAAACATCTCTAATGCCTATAAGAATATAAATGATTACCAAAAGAAGAGTGGGAGTGCTAACTTCTTCACCTTCTCCAAGGAGAAATGTAGTGGCTTAAGTTGTCCTTCATAGAGCAAGATCTTTACAATGCCATGAATATCCTTAGGCTGCAACAAACCCTCTATATGTTATGGATAATGATGCTATATCTCTAATATAATTGCCGGTATTGAAAGTTAAATATTGGTGAGTCCTTTTTGATATTTTTTCCTTACTGCCATGATAGTAGAGGATTAATATTATTAAACCTTCATTAGTCCTTCTTGTATTGGTGGAATTAATTAGGCATTTTGAGTGTACTTAGACTAGACGAGCATAAAAATGGAATTCCTTCATGTTATTAGCTAAGTCTAGTAAGATATTCTCATCTCATTATGTCTTGCATTAGCTAGTGATAGTATTAAATTCTAGACCCTCAATATTGTTACGTGATAGCTTACTATGTCTGGTTCCAAATGTATAATAAGGATAGTGAGTAAGTTAGGATGGCCAACCAATCTGAGGCATAGTTTAACTCCCACTTGTATATCTATCCTTATTCTACATCTAACTTATATCTAATATCAAATTTCATTCCATGTTGAATGTTTTAAAATTGTTTTTCTTTTTTCCTTTACTCTATGTATGCTCAAGAGTCATTCCATGCTCCAGTTTTTTCGCTCCTTAATTATATATTTGGGAGTTTGGCTCTATCCATTCATTTAATGGCCCAAGGCCTTGAAATAATTAAAGCCATGTATGCTACAACTAACTTCAAAATTGTTGCTATACCTATTGTTGCTGAGAGTTGCAACATTGGCAAGGATGATGATTCTTGTGGTGGTGAAGGGGTTTATGAAAGAATTGGCGAGAAAAAAAATGGAAGAGTGATTAGTTCATGATCAATCTCTTATACAAGGGAAATTTGTTGATGAGACAGAGAATTGAGCAACTCATTAGCTTCCATTAGCAACTTTTGGAAATTGAAAGGGAGAAAGGCCTATTAAGCAAGGAGTATGTGTTGGCTAGCTTTAGGCTTTTGGACTCCATGTATATCTTTTTCTTTTTTTTTCCACATTTTTAACAAATTTTCTCATTTTTTAGGTATTCCAGCCAAAGGATCCAAAGGAACTCTAGCCTAAGGAGATGGATATGATTTAGCTTGAGGAAATAGAGATCCTCCAACCTAATATAGAGGAGATTGAACCACCTAGAGTGGAGAACAAAATTTAATATATTATAGGTCAAGCTCTTCTTTTAGTGATTGAGCTAGGTGTAGCTTTCAATTGCAAAGTGGGCATTTGGTAGATAAAGCTTAGGTGTTCAACCTAATGGGATGAATTCATATTGCACTATTACAACTTGGCTTAGTGGAAAAAGAAAATGTAGATGAGGAAGCCAACTTTCAAGTTCCTCTGCCAGGTTTTGTATGCAAGGATTGTGAAGAAGAAAACATGGTGGAGGAGATTTATTCTTGTAGATTTTTGGCTGGGGTTAACACTTTGCAAGTTACTATAACGAGCTATCTTCCAAATTTGCCATTGGGGAATATGAGATAGTTATGAATACAACTATTGCTATAATTGGGATACTTAGTCACACGATCATGTTCCTGGGAAATTCAGTTGAGATCCCAGAGGTCACTACTAAGTTCTAGAGGATCACACACACCAAGCCCTTGAATGTTTTAGGCGCCATCTAGTGCACACACTTTGAGATTGTGCAACCCTTACCTAACGATAGTGTGGACTACTTTGATAGGAAGCAAAACTTCAACATCATAGTGCAAGCTATCTACAATGTGAGGAAGAGGTTCTTAGCATCTACACTAGCTAACCAAGTAAACTTGGTTTTTGGTTATCATTTTGAATTGCATTTTGATGTAAGAACTCCATGACATGCGAGTTTAGAGGAATTAAAGATTGAGGGCAAAGATTGTAAATGGCCAACTACTGCAAAGCCTAGTTACCTAGGCTTTCAATGAGTGAGTGATGTGGGACAAGGGGTACAAGTTTTAGCTATATTTGATGATTCCTCATCTCAATAAACTTCTAAGTTTTGGTTCATAGATCTTATGTTTATCGTTTTTTGTAAGTGCAAACATTTGGGTGGGTGAAAAAACATTTAATGATCACTATCACATAGCAAGGATTGTCATTAAGCAAGCTTTTGGCCTACTCACACAAAGATTTCAATGCCTGGACCAAAAATAAAAGGTACATCTAAAGTACTTCCCTATTTTCATCCAAGCATATTGCATTTATATATATTCTTATCAACTTGGGTGAGGCAAATGTTGAGAGAGATATAGAGGCTTGGAATGCCAAATGTGAACAATAAAGATTTTTGTGAGAGGTATTCTTATTGTTGCACCAAAGGAGCCTGATGAGTCTTTTATTACGTAAGATAATATGGCTAAAGTGTACTTGTTGTTACTAGCAACTGTGGTGCCATGGAAAGTCTAAGGCATGGAATGGTCCTTACCCTTAAGCAATATCTTTGTTTCCTTGATTATTGAATTATAAGTTTTGCAAATTTTAAATTTAAAACTATTGGGAATTTCAAATTTGAAATTATTCCTCTTTTCATATAAATACAATGTTTGAATCTAGTAAATCTAGACACTTTCCATAAATAACTATAGAGATTGTAATGAAACCAATACAAGGGGCATAATAGCGGGAGTGTTTGGCAGACATGGTAAATTATCTGTTAGTAAACTTGATTTAGCATATGTACTTGGCTGGATGAGCATAAGAAAGGAATTCCTAAATGTCTATTTAGCTAAGTATATTTGGCCTGATTTTTTAGTTCTCTTTTGCTTTGTCCTATATTGGCTTGACAAGAACCTATGCAATATTGATCTTGGTCCCTCAATATTTGCTTGGAAAAAAGGGATATAGGGTTCAGAAATACCAACCTTTTGCCATCGTGGTAGTAAAGAAAAAATATCCGAAAGACTCACCGACAGATAACTTTCACATTTACAACACTCTCCCCCTCTTAGGGAAGATCAATGTTTTTGTCGATGCATACTCTAATCATACTGCCAAGGAAGAACTCCAAAAAAAGTTTATAGTTTTCACACATTGTAAGAAATGCATCAACTTAAATGAGTTAGGGTAACTTCTCTATCTAACACAAATGCATTACAACTTATACACCTTTTAGCAATCGCCAACAAAGAAATGATTAATGGAGTTAGTCATTCTTGCTACTTTGAATGTCACCTAACTTACAAAAGATGATATTAGATGACATAGAGAAAGAAGCTAGAAGTCCCAACCCTTATGAGTAAATAAACCAAATTTATTGATATGGTTTAGATAGACTATTGTAAATAGGTAATTAGAGTTGTTTGCCCTTTGAAAAAAATAAGGAACATTAAGAGAGAGATAGTTGATGTGACCAATCGATAGTAACTACCCCATGACTAAAGATTTCACCAT